TGCTCCAACATTTCACAGATTCAGTGGATGTTAGGGTGGGCCCACTCATAGCCCTGGTTCTGGGCCTGGGAGGTAACTGGGTTGATCAGCTCACTAGCTTTCCCTCACCTACTACAGTGCCTTGGCTAATCCACCCAGTGCAGGCTACAGCAGGCACTTGAGGCTAGTTCTCCTGCTCTCAGGCCCTCAGATCTGTCTCTGTTACTCATCGCCAGGGCCAGCTCTGCTATTTTGCCCAGGCAGGGTGCAGGGCCCTTTCTCCCAACTGCTGTAATGGGAACATGAAAGGGAATGGGGCTGGCTCTCCTGCTCTCACACCCTTAAGACTGGTTCACCCACATCCCTGACAACAGGGTCAGTGGAAAATCAGACTCTTGATTGGCAGGTTCTCCTTTCTGTATCTTGAATAGGTCATCCTATCACTGTGTCTTTTCAATGGTTTCTATCTCTACCAATAGTTCACAATGGCAATAAATTGTCAATATGCCTTCTTTTACTTCTTTAACCCAGATTTTTGTTGTTGTTGCTGCTGTTTGAGATAGGGCCTCTCTACATAGCCTTGTTGGCCTAGAACTCACTAGGTAGACCAGGTTGACCTCAAACTAAGAGACTATCCTGCCTCTGCCTTTTGAGTGCTGAGATTAAAGGCAAGTGTCACCATGCTCGGTCAAAGACCAGGTTTTTAAGAACGAATTCTTTGAACACATTTCTGATGGCTGCATTGACAACCGTCTGTGAAGTCTGAAATCTGGTCCTTCTCACAGGCAGTTTCTGTTGTTCGCTCTCCAGTGCCAGGTACAGTTTATACTTTTTGTTTCTGTACATTTCCCATGCATCTGCTGTTGCAAGCAGGACATTTAGACACAGTCAGGGAGAAGATCTGGGAATCTTGGGAAAATCCAGCAGCTGTTCAAAGCATCACTTGTTGTTACTTGCCTGTTTATTTAGTAACTGTCTGGACTGCTTTGGGCCAGGCTTTTTGCCCTGCTGTGTGAAGCCTCAGGTAGTATTCCTTGAGTGTAGTCATGTTCATAGATGACAGTGGTCTTGGTAAGAATCTCTGTTCCTTTATCTGATCACATCTAATGATTTGGTATCACTAAATTTGATCTATTGTTTTTTTTTTTGAGGTATAAATTGCTCCACAATCTTAGTACACAGGGAGTTAGTTTTTATAGTGTTTGTTCTTTTTTGTTTTTGTTTTTGTTTTTCGAGACAGGGTTTCTCTGTGTAGCTTTGGTGCCTGTCCTGTATCTTGCTCTGTAGACCAGGCTGACCTTGAACTCACAGAGATCCGCCTGGCTCTGCCTCCTGAGTGCTGGGATTAAAGGCATGAGCCACCACCACCTGGCTACAGTGTTTGTTCTAATAGTAGCCCTCAGGAGGCGTCTTCTGCCATGCCTCTTTTCCTGGTTCTCTGTGGTAACTTCGCTGGCCCATCTTTTAGGAATCGAGTATCCCTTTTGTTTACCTCAATGCTCATTGGTTTAAAAAATGCTGTTAGACTTGAGCTTACCTAGATTCTGCTTCAAACAACATTGACTCCTTCGAGGAGGACTTCGGAACTCTCTATGTCTTTAGCCTGTCTTTATCCCTGGACAAACTCTCTGAGCTACCATGCTGAAGCCCAGAGAGGGAGAGCTACGGTTCCAAAGCTGGGCAGGGAGAGCGGCCTTCTTCCTCTACAGTGAAACCTTAGTTGTAGGTTGGGCCGTGCATTAAAAGTAGTCTCCAGCTTTGTCAGGTTGCCTATACTAGAATTAGGGCTCCGTCCGAAAAGGGAGCTGAGCTGGAAACAACCGTGGCTCTCCTATTCTTGATTTAGCACAACCGAAGTGAAACATCAGGCCTTGGAGGACGAGGTAGAAGAACCAACTTCTTGGCTGCACTCTCCTGGACCTTAGTTCATCAGAGGGCTGAGGAGCTGAGAATGCAGGACTTTCCCTTTTCTGGAATTATAGTAATTATCATAGTAATTCCAAGAGCTGGGGGAGACGAGAGCCATGCACTCTTGGAAAGTCCTACCTGGGGTCAGTAGAATGTCTGATGTTAGACTGATCTGACAGCAGAAAGAGGTTGGGGCATAATTTGAGTGCTGCAGATTTAATAATTCTCTCCCTTCAGTAAGCTTTCTTGAATAAGCATCCCATCATCCTCTGTTATGTCTTTAGATCAATACTAAGAGAATTCAGGGTATGATTATGCAGCAACAATGGGTGAAAGACCAGAGGCAGATTGATGGATGCCGCAAAGACACCATGGATGGGTGACCAGTGGCGAATAATGCCCACCAAACACTGACAGTGAATAAGTCCCTATCCCTGAACTAATGTTTCAGATAGAATAAAGGATTAGAGAAACACTGAGTTGCAGAAAAATAATGACTTTCTTGTGTCCTAAAACTGTGGATTGTGACTTAGATCAACTGTAAAGTGATAGACAATTGTTTTGATGAGTTTGTCTCATGGATGAAAGGAGAGACAGAGAGAAGAGAGAGGAGGAAGAGAGGAGAGGAGAGAGAGAAAGACAGAGAAGAGCAAGGGAGCAGGAGAGATAGTGTGTTGGTTTGAATGAGAATGGTCCCCATAGGCTCATATGTTTGAATATTTGGTCCCTAGTTGGTGGAACTGTTTGGAAAGAATTCAGAGGTGTGGCCTTGTTGGAGGAGGTTTGTCACTGGGGAAGGACTTTGAGATTTCAAGAGCCCACAGCTATTCCCACTTAGCTCTCTCTATTTCTTGTTTATGAATCAGGAAATAAAGCCACTGCTTTAGCTCCATGTCTGCCTACTGCCATGCTCCCCATAATGGTCATGACCTCTAACCCTCTGGAACCACGAACTCCAAATTGAACTCATTTTATAAGTTGCCTTGGTTATGGCGTCTTATCACACCAATATAAAAGTAACTAAGACAGATGGGAAACATTTTTCCCTTCTTGAGTGAGAGATAGAATGTACTTTGGGTGTTCATGAATGGGATTTGGTGGAGAAGTAAGGCTGAGGATGCCCAAGGAAAGAATGATTGAGAGAATGAAATTCCTGAGGCTGAAGATGGGCCTAGTTTCTGAGAAGTGCTATAAGTCCAGGTTAGTTTGGTGACTGAAATATCAATCTTTATATGTGTGTGCATATATATATATATGCATATACATATACATGTATACACACATACATACAAGTAAAAACATGTAATCTTACAAGACGATAGGGTTGATGAAATGGTTAAGGGTATACTGAAAGGTCACAAACTTAAGAAGGGTGAGTTGACAAGTGAAAAAGTTTCTAATGGGGCAGGGTAGAAGTTCCCAGGTAGGATTACAAAGTCTGGGTTCATAGGGTCTAATCAAGGAGATCCTAAATCTTTTCTCCAATTCTGCTCCTCTCCTCTGGAGGAGGCATGATGAATATGGATGACTGGGACCATTAGCCCAAGGATTGGGATTATTTCAGAAAAAGAACTGCTTGAAATGGCTTCATACATTAAAAAAACAAAACAAAACCCCACATATTTTACACAGCTGTTCTCCACATTAAACATATCATTTCTTTTAAATTTATGATACCCACTTTCTATTCCTTTGATAGCTGTTTATCTTTTTTGTTCCCACTGTCTTCTACAAATGAGAGAGGTGGTGTGGCACAGGGGTCAAAGGGACTTATGGGAAACTTTTTCAGATACAAATCTTGCATTTAATGCTTGCTGGTTGTACGACCTCAGATCACACACCTCTGCACCTCAGATTTCTCATCTGTGAGTCAGGGTAAAGGACAGTACCCTACCCACAAGGCTGCCATGAAAACTAAGCGGGCCAGTGTACACAGCTGCTGAGTAGTGACTACTGTTACTGTTGCAGCCCAAATGAAATAAACGCTTCTGAAAGGACACGCTTTCTCTTCCCCTCGGCTAAGGGGTCCTGATTGTGGATGGTTCTTAACAAAGCGCAAGGCTCTCTGTGAGGCTGCAAGCCTTCTGCAGGCAGGCCCTGTGGTTTCCACCTGTTAGCTGCTTCAGCACCAAGAAAACTGCCCTTAGATGAAGCAAAAGTAAAGTGACACAGGGTGATGGGGATACAGTATCAGAACTTCTCATCCTTGTTTTCCCCGTTAGACAGATAAGGGAATTAGGGCTCTGAAGCTAAACAGAGTGCAGGGCAAATGCTACTTCTACTATCGAATAGCCATACACACTCATGCATGCACGGTTCACCTACTTAGATCAGGACTTTTTTCTTTTTCCTCTTTAGTTACTAGCTATGATTCTGTTCACGCCTACCAGAATGGCTTCTGGAATCATCTCTTTCATGACCACTGCTTCCCTAAAATGTCCTTTCCCTGACAATGGAGAGAGGAATTCCCTTTCTTCTTCGGGACCCAGCACCCTGTCACTTCCAATCTGTTGGATTTCACCCCCTGCACTCATCAGGCTGGTTTACTCCATATCGTATCGATTCTTCCTTCAGTTCTTCATGGGTGACACTCCTCCACCTTGTAGCACGCGTGCCTCCTTCGTCTAATCCCATACTCTTTCTACAACATAGAAGCAGAATTCCTGTGCTATCAATTTCATAATGACAAGACTATCATATCTCCTCAAACTAGAAGTGACTTCTGTTTTCTCACATGACCCAAAATCAATCTCTCTCTCTCTCTCTCTCTCTCTCTCTCTCTCTCTCTCTCTCTCTCTCTCTC